AGCTGAAGAATGTATTTGTCAGCATTTACTACTTCCATTACCAATTCCTATTTTTCTTGTTCAGTACCTGTCCTTTGACGAATTGAACATTTTCTGTGAAAAACAAATTACCGTCTATGTAGCAATTTTACTACCTACTGATAGGAACAGACATACCTGAACTCCTCCAAATCCATTAGGAGCTAAGTAGCGCTCACACTCCAGAGCAATATCCTGCCAGCGCCATTCAAAGAGATGCACAATTGAGGTTCTCTTTGGGAGGGTGTTGGGGTTGTACTGCCCCCAGCACAACCCTACAATTAACAGCAAAAAATAGATCCCCATCCAGTGCTCTGTGATCACTTGTGCTCCTCTTAACTGTCAGTGTTCCTGCAAGAGGGCAAAGTACACGTTAGAAAATACACATTTAAAGGTAAACTCCCATCTCTGGCATCGTATTTATTTACTTGTCATTTTGTATGAGAATTGGATTTTATCTAAACTATATTAAATTCCCATACTAACAGTAACTTTGTTTGCATGCAGTTAGAATTCAGATATTGCCTAATGCAGGCTGCCTCCAGAATGCAAAAGTTGTGGTTTTATTAGTATAAAGCCAAAAACTACCCCAAAGGGCAAAGGAATACTTACACAGACTGAAATGGACATTTTGTTTCTCATTTTAATGTACATTATTTTACATTCCTACTTACCCTTGAGAGGCATCTTTTTTTTTTTTTTTTCAAATTGGTGTTTCTACCACCAACTTGAATATATTTGGAGAAGACCTTGCAGAGGCAGCATATTTCTTACCATGATTTGTTATGAAACCTCAGATATTTTGGAGGTTTAATATATGCTGTCATTCATGATATGCATGGCATTTCTCATTCAAACAATAGCCTGAAACCTAGATCTCTCAGACACAGAAATGATTAATTAGTGACTCAAGCTAAATGTCTGATCTCTGCACAGCTGTTTGATTTGTGTGGAGATATTCTCCTTTTAAGAACGTGGGCAATGGCATACAGATGTTAGAAGTGTTGTGAAGCTCCATAACCAAGAAATCTCCTTCTGAGTGCCCAAGTACTGAGCTCTGCAAAAGGAGTTTTCCAGAGGCTTGAAACAAGCTACCTTCCCTTCTTATGAGCTAGGCTAGGAACTGCATTTCCCAACTCATATCCTATTTGCATTTATTTAGGGACAAAGACAACAATCCTCTTCCTACCTAGAGAGTTACAACATGTAACAAACCAGAAACTAAACAACTATCAAGGTTTACTTTACTCTGTTGAGAAGCTTATTTTGCACTCTTCAAGTTTAGAAGTTGATATAGAGAGTCTGAGATACAAAGAAGTCCTACAAGAAAAATTTCTGTAAACAAATGGCTGAACTAATACTTCTCTTAAATAACAAAATAAAGAATCTTGTTACTTTCCTGGAAGTACCTATTCTTTATAAAAAGTTATCTTACAGAAACAACAGAGAAGAGATTCCTGCCACAGGGGAAACCAAACATGTCAGTGAAGGTTTAAACATGAACACAAGGGCCCTCAGGTTTGCTACACAAAGGAAATCAGTGCTTTTCCTGATTTAATATGCACCTGGGAATGCACTGCTGAAAACTCCAACCTGCTGTGATACAGTTACCCAGGCACAAGTTTATATAAAATTTTATGTGACTTCTACAAAACTGCCCTTATGTCTGCTTCAAGGAAAGGATGACCCGTATCTTTGAGGTAGTGGAGCACTCTTTGGAACAAATTCAGGCACAAAATATACCAGTTTATAAAGTGTAGAACCTCCCTTCCAGAGCCTACTGCTATCAGCTGTCACTGCTCTTCAAAAGCAGGCAGTTATTGAGAATTAAGCATTTGGTGCATTTAGCTTGCTTTTCTGCTTGTGAACAAAATAACTTTAATACAATTATTTACTTGCAGATCTTCAGTAAAGTATACAGATTAAGCTTCAGCCACAAGCAGTTGTTCTGCATGCTTCTATTTTAATGAAGGAATACTTTTTGGCCCTGATATGAAGAACATATATTAAGAGAAAATGAGCTAAGAAAATTCCATCTTCTCTGATGAGAGAAGCCATTTATCAGATTGGCAAGTTTTACTTACAGCAGTAAATACACAAAGCAGTAAATTACACAAAGTAGTAAGAATAATGTACCTTGACCCAACCAGCTCTGAAGCTGAGCGCTTAAAGATTTGATGTAGATTTCTCTGAAACAGGTTTATGGCTGCTCTGCCTTCAATACAAGAAATAATAAGAGAATGGGGATGTTGAAATCCTCACCGCACTCTGAAGGCTCTAGCTTCAGAATGTTTTTGAAACTTGGAAAAATGGCAAGAGGCCATCAGCAACACTGATTGCAATGCCGAGAACTTGTGAGCGGAGTGTCTGTGCAGAGCCCCGCTGCTGTCCTGGCCGCCCCGGGCACTCGGCTCACCTTGTCTTTGCCGGGTCAGGGCCTGAGCTGTGTCCCCAGGGCCATCTCCAACACACCTGCGGCCGTGTTTGAATCCGCGGCGCGGCCGACGCGGGGCTGCTGAAGGCTGCCACGGGGCACACAGCAGCGGGCCTGTCCCTTCCGCCGCCTCCCCACACACCCCCGCAGTAGCCCCGCGTTCCGAGCGGCCGCCCTCCGCTGCCGAGCCTCTCCGGCGGGCTCCCCCAGCCGAGCCGGGCCGTGTGTGCCGAGCCGGGCCGTGTGTGCTGTGCCGCCCCTTCCGGACGGCCCCGCCCGCGGCTCAGCCGGCCCGGCCACCCCCCGGCCCGGGAACAGCGCCGCTCTCCCAGCGTATACACCTCCCGCGCTTTTTTATAAAGTATTTTTCTCCTTGAGCACAGCACCACCTTGCTGTTGTCCTACTTCGGCGATTTGAAAATACGGTGCTATACGTGTAGATCAACATGGGTATTAGGACACTACTGTAGAGCCACAGAAGCACTGAAATTGAAAAAGCCCCCTAAGATTGAACGAACGATTACACAATCCCCATGGAAATGCAGCAAACAAGCTAAGAATAATTCCTTTAAAATGCTTTTACTGTAATCTGCTAATCCAGTTCATACTGGTAAAAAAAAAGCAAAGATAGACTTACTTTGGTCCAGCCATCAATACTAGTGATCTAGACTGTTTGCAGCTAGAATAATGACAAAAGAAATCTTTACACCAGCCAGCGCCCACACCATCAACTATGATTTAATCATTTATGGAATAACTTTTTCTTTAAGTCCACTGGACTAGAATCTCTTGTCAATTAAATGTCATTGCAATGTTTCCCACATGTTTTTAGACAGTTCCACTGACCAGCCTAATATGGAGCAAATCCTACCATGTGGCCACTGTTATTATCACCCACAACAGGGCAAGGACCACATCTATACCAGTTTTAACTGCTACTCTGGTTTTAATTACCTCAGTCTCATCAGTGACAGTTTTCAAGTTGTAGATGAACAATGCAAGTTAATCACTTAGGAAGAACAGTGCCCAGTTTCACACTACAAATTCAGGCCAATGCACCAGTCCTTCTGCTTGGTCTCCAAGTCAAGATCTGTCCCACTCAAAACCCCCAAGAATAAAAGTCAAAACAAAGAGAAGGCAGCAAAACGAAGAGAAGGGAAATAATTTATTATATTTCACAAGCAATCTAACATACATTTATGATGTAAGTCTTGTGATATTTAAAGATATGTGGAATCTTTAAGACGGGAAAATTTATTCTCTGCCTTAAATATTTTAGAAATGCTACTACGCACAGTTCAAGAGTCCTGATGATTATACTGCTTCTTCCCCAGCTTGGTAATACTTGAAAGAGATGGAACACAAAAGGGACCTGGAACATCACAAAGGCATGTTAAAAGTAAGAACTATCAAAAAACAGCAGTGTTATACCGGCTTTTGACAACTGAATCAAAAGATGCTTAGTGTTTTAAAAAGTGCTTAATGTCTGTGAAAAATACATCTGAATAAATGCAGGCTGTATTAATTTTATATTATAGAAAGTTAAACAGTAATGTAGTATGAAACCCACAGGAAATGTAAGTCACTAGCAACAACACTACCTCAGTGCAGAGAGCAATCTAACTAAACCCGAGCAACCAACAAAAAGGTAGCAGTGATTAAAAGTTGATTATTAGTCCAGCTCCAAATACTTAATTGCAAGATATTGTTAATTTTCTTCTTTACTCAAAAAAGGCAAAGTAAGGAATGTATAAACTAAATCAACTCCAGATTGCTCCTCATGTACCAGGACAACAGTAATCATCAAATGATCTGTAATACTGGTCAACCCCTTAATATTAAGACTGCTCTGCAATGTATTTTAGCTAACAAATTATTATATTAATATGTATTTAAAGAAAAAGGTAACTTGATAAGTGTGAGCTCAGCACAGCTTCACACAGATCAGCTGGTGTGAGCTAGAACTGTTTCACTAAGGAATAAGACCACAAATTAGTAGGGTATCTGAAGAAGGTGAAGGCCACCTTTTCAGACTAAGAACCTTCATTGTGTCTATTCACACAGCACAGACAACTCATTGGTTTCTTTTTTCCCCCTGAAAAAATTTGCTTTTTTCAAATAATTAATTAGCTCAAGCTTAAAACATGTTAACTCCTCCCCACACCTACTCTATATGAAAACTTAAGATGCAGTTGAGTGCTACAGGAAACATTGCACAAAAAGGATACAACAAGAAAGGATACACTCTGCATGACAGTATTACTGCAGAATTTACGCAGGAATGTTTCTAAAGAAGAACAGCAGAATGTTGTTTAATTTGACTTGATTCTCAGTATTACACACAAAACTTTATGCTACCTAACAAAAATAAAAAGCAAATATGCCTTTTTGATAAAAAACAGTTCTAACCCCTTATGAGATTTAATGAGGGCTGATGAGTCCATCAACACTAAACTTCATATTCAAAAGTAAATACATTTTTTGATAACTTGAACTATTAGGACATCAGCAGATTTTTCCATCTTCAAGTCTTTGCCGTTTTACAGACTCACTTTATTTCCACCAGGTCCAAAACCCAATCATGTTTCCCTTTAATGCCAGCTTTCAAACCACTTCTTCCCTGGGAAGAAGCTGGAGACTTCTCAACATCAGTTTCTTCTACATAACTTTTCTCTCAAAAAGTTGTATTTTAGCTACAGGAAAAAGTCACTTTAGGTGAACTTTTTGCCAGTCTATCAATAAAAAGACATTGAAATCAGCAAGGAGTTCTGCATTATTTTTAGAAACCATATGTACTGTTTTGTCAAAAAAAAATTTAAAAAAAGATAAAGCCTTTGTAGAAAAAAAAAAAGTAAAAAAACCCAACAAAACAAAACTAAAAAACACCAAAAAACCTCCCACAAAGCAAAGCAAAACAACAACAACAAAAAAACAAAACAAAAACAAACCAAACAAAAAGCAAAAACCCTAGACCTCAGGTTTTTCTAATGGAATTGTGCATCATAAATATGCATCCATCAGAATATTCCAGCAGGAACAGAAAAACAGTAATGTAGAAATAGGGTTCAGCTTAACCATTACTTGGGAAATGCAACAAATATTTTTAATTAAACCTGATGGATCCTCAGAAACTTGTAACTCCATGGCACATTGTTATGATTACAGCATATAAACAGTCCAGGTGAGAAGTTGTGCCCATGGACAGAACACCAGGGACACACTTGTAAGATGGTAACTCATGGAAGACTTCCAGGTACACAATTAAATCTTGCTTAAGTATGGTTTGCTCACTCTAGAAAAAGCTCCTGAGTTGACCATCAACATAATAACAAACAAGCACCTTGTTATTTTCTTTATGCAACTGAAGTATTCAGTATATTTAATGAATTCAGAATTAATGCACAGAATTAGTTGGAAAGACATGGAATTCCTAAAAGAATAAAAGTGCTCAGACTTCATCTAGCAGGCTTTGCAATAGCTAAAATGCTTCAATTTTTTTTATATATAAGAAACCTTGGTAATCTTATTAGACACTAGATAATACAAATAGAAGTCTTTTCTAACAAGAAAAGAGTGAGAAACAAGACTGAAATATTCTCATAAATACTCGATCCTAGTAGAACACTTCAGCCAAGGCTCTCTTCTCTTTTCAATGATCAGTACAGAAGAAAGCCTACAAAAAAGTGAACTTTGACAAAATATGTATTTTGCAAACTACAAACAATAACACAAAATAGCAAGTAAGACCAAATATCAGCTAAGAGGAAAACAACCTTAAATCTGATTTTAAAAATCCTTAGACAATGGATAGAATGAAGAACCTACAATTAGAGTTTCTGTTAAAAATAGAAATACTACCATCACAATAACCACACTGGGGGCTTTACAACCAATTTGTAAAAAAAAAAATCAAAAACAGCTGTTCACATCCTTTATTTTGAATTTGGGTTTTCTTCAGAATAATAAGGATCAAGCTCCAGATTAAAAACACACCATGGCTTAATTAATGTTTCATAAGCACTCAGGCTAAGATTTCAGTTAATTTTCCTTTAAGCAGAGGCATAACAAGAGCGATCTCAACTGTAGCCAGAAATTAAGGCTAATTTCTTTTAAATTTGAGCTAGCTCATGTATCACAGGGTGCTGATTGAGAAATCAATGCTTTTTATTCTTGCACCATTTCTTTCACATGGTCATTTGAGGGTTCACTATGCAAATGTTTGCAGGCCACAAAACCACTCAGGTAACTTAGAGCTGATTTTGCTTGACTTACTCTCACATAAATGAAACCCTCAGAAAAAAGGTAGCAGTGAAGTAAAGCTACATTATATGAAATAAAGTTAAAAAACTTTCTGCTACAAGTTATTTTCTCATCATGTTTAAATAATGCTAAAAATCAGGACCGACACATTCCATGGCAAAGGACACCTTGATCAACATTAGGCAGCACTTTCAAACAGAATATCCTTCACTAATTCAGACAAGTGTAAAGGATGCTGCAACAGCACTAAGAACTAATTTATAAAGTTAGCAAAGATCCTCTACAGCTAGTGAAGTTTATTGCTGAACCAGTTCTTCAGGATCACTTTACAATGGCAGGGATGGAAAGGAAGGAGTTAAGAGGTAACACTTTTCAATACCAAAACCTTGGAGGATTACTGAAAGTGGTCTAATTCCACAAAAATATTCTCCTTATCTTTGCAGATTAGGGATTAGAGAAACTAAGAAATGCCTGACGATATCAGGATTAGGAAAATATCCATCTCTGAATTTTTTAACAAAGAAAAAAGCAAAGTTTAAATAAAACTTATATCAACTATATACCTTGCACTCTGTTTTTCTAATATAACCACACATTTAAGAAAAGAAATTTGTATGGAACAATTCCTCTCCATCATCAGTATTCCTAAAGAAGCTGTTAAAGAGAGAGCAAATAAAACCAAACAAACACTAACAAAAACCTCCAGCCCAATCCTTTACTTTTGCTTTCAGGCAGAGTCCATACCTTGTACAGTGTTTTATTTTTTTCTTTTCCCTTCATTAGGATCCTGTTTTGGTCTAGCTGAACGAGCAAATTGCTGAGATTCTGTTAAGGACTACAAGTGTCTGATAAGTAGAAGTCAATTAATAAAGACAAAAAAGATTGCTTCTGCCAATTAGTCTAGAAAGTGACCTTTAACTGTAAATCAATTCCACTACAGTATGAAGTTTATAACAACAATGTCTATTAGTCAAAGATTAGAACCAAAATGATACACAGTACAGAAGTTATCAGACAGCCTATAAGGAGGACTAACTGGGAAATGGTTGGATGCAAAGAGGGTAACTACAGTAAGATAAATGCTTGATATTTACAAACTTTCAACCCAGCATGTTAATTCTTAACTTTGATGTCTCAGTATTTGGGAGGAAGAACAGAAAAAGCAGCAGATGCTGGGGTTAATGTGGGTATAAAGAAACTGAAATAACTATAAAATATGTAAGTGAAAAATAAGAAAAGACTTTCAGATAAAAAAAACAGTGCTATGCAATCAAAAAGTGAGTTCCAGCTGAAAAACCAGTCTAGAGACCACTTATTCTAACAAAACATTTCTTATGCTCTTGATTCTTTAAACACAGACCTAACCAAATTTAAAACCTTGCATTTAATTTAAATACAGTGGTCATACAAGCTAAATTATCTTTTGTATTGTCTTTGCAGGATCAAAGATGTAAGACCAGCGAATTTTGTTCTTAAATAAAGCACTTTTACTTTCCTATTTCAGAAGAGTTGCCTCTGTGTTTTTGTCATCTCCCATGAATAGTGCACTATGTTATGCCGACTGGTTTGCTTAAAGCATTTTCTATTTTGCAAAACACTCTGACAACAAAACTAGAGATTGGCAGAGATCACAAAGAATGCAAATGCTTGAAGAGAAGGATACAACCACCATGGGTTTTTCAAATAAGACATAGCCATTTGCTTCCTTTAGTGCTTTAGCAGCTGCTTTCTCATTGGGCAGTCCAATGAAAGCCTGTCCTTTCATACGGCCTTCTTTCATCAAACGGATATCAAACCTAGGGGCACAGTGGAGAACTGGGAATTACTCATGGTTAACAAACCTGGCAGATTTCACAGTACAAATACATTCTCATGCTTCAGGTGGGAGAAAGAGAAACAGAAGCAAAGCCTACAAGGAGGCATAGTGTCCTTGGAGACCATTTTGCTTGGGGAAACCATTTACTAAAAAGTAATATTGAACTGCAGGATGGCAAATTGATGTGCAGTACTACTAAACAGGACATATGCAAAATGATCAGATACACACAATCACCTGCATAGTTCATTCTTTGTCACACAGCCAAGAAAAGCAAATCTGGGAATGAAAATATAAAGGCAAAATAATAGGGTCTTCAGTCACTGTTCATAAAATAGTTCTATTTCTAAATGAAGACTTTTAGGTGTAACACATTTTTTGTTCATGCAGAAACACAGAAAATGTAAATATGGCTATTTTTAAAATCCCAGTTTTTAGCAGTGCCATAGAAGTTAATATAAAAGGCTTAATTTTAACCAAGTACGAAATGAACTCACATATTGCGTTCCACCTCTGACTGGAAGTCAACATATCTTCCAAAAATGAACTTAAGATCCTGAAATTAAAGTGTAGGTGTAAGACAAATGCTAAGAAAAAGCCCTTCTGATAGATATTTGCTTGTTTACTTACCTTTTCTTGTACTTGTTTAGCTAAATTCTTCACATATATCCTGCAGTTTGGATCACCTGGCTCATAGTTTCTGAAAACAGAATATTTTTCCATTTCTTGAAGACAAAAAAAAAAAGCTTTAGTTCATTTACTTTGCACATTTTCTCAGTATAAAATAATTTACCAAATGCTCAATTAAGAAACACTTATTTAAGCTATTTGTTGCAGCAAATCAAAAAGCTATTACTAGATAACATATTCTCACAGTTATACCTTCTCTAGAAAGTCTGTTTTTTTCTAGATCCTTTCTAGAAATAAATTCTGATGGTATTTCATCATCCTCCTCTTCAGTTTCCATTTTATCATTCGAGCTAGGAGCTGGGAAAATCCTTCCAAAGCCTGTATTATTGATTTCTTCTGTGGTTGCATAAAGGTCTGAAATGTCAACAAATTATGTAAGTGGTTTGTACATTTATTGACACTAAGATCAAGAGCCAGCAAGAAAACCACACTTTCCAGCAACATTATAATAGAGCAGACTTTGTAAGGCAATTGGAATACATCCTTAAAAATTAGTTTTAATGCCTGGTTTGACAAAAGCACCTGCTCTGTATAGTCCTATAAAACCCCACGTGGTACAAATAAAGGTCATGGCACACTTGAGTTAGCATAAAACTTGTCTTGCTGTTCAATCCTGTATCCATTTCACTATTTTCCCTTGAAGAAACTGGATATTACTGTAAAGTGCCAAGAACCACAGATGGACCATAACCCTCTAAAAAAGCCATCACACCTCACTGCTACCATTGGCCAGCATTTTTATGGCAGATATTCAGTGCACCAGAGAAAAGAGGTTAGCAATCACTTAGATGCTGCTGGAAAGTAAAATCTGAAATTAGCCTGATATATTCATTTACACCATAAAATACTGAAAATTTCTAACATTTGCACTCTAACATTTAAAAGGCAGTGCAATTCACCATAAACCTAGAGAGCACATAGGAGAGAGACCTTTAAGACCCTCTGGATCCTTTCCAAATGCTTGTCCCATGGGAAAAACAGCAAGTACAAATATGATGCAACCTGGTGTTGGAAGCTCCAATACAATAGGAGAAAAGAATTTCCTGATGTAAATTACAGCACCCTTTTACATACTGAAGCCACATGACTTCAACATTAAATACATTTGAAGTACAAACTCTCTTACCATTTTTTTCTTCTTTTTCTGAGTTTATCTGAAGGACAGCTGGGATCTCAGTACTAATATGAAACTCTATTTTTTTATGACCTACGTGCTGTGGCTGCTCAAAGACATCAGAAGGTGACAGTGTAGGGTGCGAGTTACTGTTTAAAACAACAACACATTAATGAAACATTCAGACACTGATGAATGCATGGTCAAATACAAGATTTCTTCCAGTTAGATTTTATGCTGTTGTTTACCACAAACACACATTCTCCATTTCATACATTTCACCCAACAGTTTCAGGTGATTACAACACTGCAGATACAGTAGGTGTGTTTGGCAGTGGGAGCAAATCCAATCACATGCCACAGTACAATACACACAGGCATTTATTAAAACCTTCATCAGTAATTTAAGCATGAAAAATAACTGGCCTTGCTGCTGCTCTCACGTAGTGTATAAAATATACTACATTTAAAAAAAATGTAGGAAATCACTTGGAGGAAGCAGGCAGCCATTAGTAAACATGCATTCACAATCATTTATCACAATATAGCAAATCTGCACTGCTGCCTACTGTGCCACAGAACTGCAGTTCCAAGACCCAAACCTACTTTAAAAGCAAGTCAGTTTTTATTCTTCCAGTGTAATACTTTTAATTTTTTGTTTTAAGAAGCAGCCCAAGCAATAAATTCTAACTGCTTCAGTCACAACTGTGATGTGAAACTAGTAATCTTTTTTATGAATAGAAATTCCTGTTAGTTTGACAGGAAGAGAAGCAGAGCTTGAATCAGGCACACTTTGAGGCTGTTGAGCAGACTTTAGTTCAAACTAGAGGAAAATTTGGATTTTTAGAGCAATAAAACCAAAAGGATAAGTGCAAAAACCACACACCTGTGAGAAGTACACACAGGAACATTCAACATGTCTTTAATTCTTTGCTTTTTTCTAACCCCACGTTTCTTGGTGTTTATTGGTCTTTTAGGCTGCAGGGTTGCTAGTTCCATCAGCTTGGTCATTCTATTTTAAACAAAAATAAAACCAAAACCAAACATAAACAAAACAGGTTTTACAGTTTATTTGAAAGTACTCATTTAAAAAACTCTCCCCCTTTCCTTAAAGCATTTGACATAGAACTTTTCAGAATATAATTGTAAAATTAGCTACCTTAGAACTGAAACTGTAACACACAGCAAATCAATATATACAGAGCACTTAAGGACTGACCAAAATCTGAACATGTTAGTGATGCCATTCCTTCCCCAGGCATGCTCCTTACTGGGACACTGAAGCTGTGAGAGAAGTTGTGATGCCCAACCTGAACCGGATTTTATAACACTCAACAGTAACCTTCTTCCAAAGGATTTGTTTTTCCAAATACAGCAGAGGGACTTTCTGATTTACTTCTCAGTTCAGAAGTGAAGAAAAAAGCTGATTTTTAATTTAGTGTTAGTTTAAAGATTAAAATAAAAAAAGCTATGATGCAATTCAGTCCCAAAACTGCAAGAGAATCCTCAGCACAAATGTTATCAGCCCTAACAATACTCACTAATGTACAAAGAGTGTTCTGAAGTTTGTGTGCACATATGATTCAGGCTGAGGAGTCAATTAAAAAAGATAGGGAACAATGAAGACTTCAGAAAATCTAATTTCTGCTTCTTTACATCTGTACTCTTCAGGCTGAGTTTTTGTTTAGTTGGGTTTTTTTGGACATGGGAACAAATGAACATTTGCACACCAACAGGCCACTTTCCTTTTCTTACTGCATTTAAACCTGTACTGTCCTTTGCACTCTGGAACTTCTCTTAGCATCTGGAAAGATTTCTACATACTCTCTACTAGATGCTACATCTATATACTGCAAACATTACCATTTGCTGAAATAGAAGCTAAGAAAGTAGAACCATCACTTTAAGCGAGCCCAAAACCTTGCAAATGACTGTAAAATGCATACCTTTCCTTTTCCTCATCATTATCACTTTCATATTCTGATTCATCCCCACTAGACAGTCGCTCTTCTTCCTCTTCAGGCAAAGGAGGCTCTTCAGGAGGCAGAGGTGGGATTGGGGGAGGTGGCACAGGCACTGGTAAATACTCTTCATACTAATTATGGGGAAAAAGTTTAAAATTTAGACTTTTTAAAGGAAAAAAAACTAAACTTATCTTGTTTTCTTAATAAAAACAGTCAAAGCAATAAATGATAATTTAACAAGCATTTTCTCAAAGCATGCTTATAGGGATGTAGGTACCATTTTGGTAAACTACATTACTAATGAAAAACTTTCCACAAGCAAAAAAAATTTGCTTTCTGAAGCATAACAGTGAACGTTTGAATTCTTTTAAGGTGAGGTGATAAAAAAATACAGCAACCGTGGCCCTGGATTTTCACTTTGCAATACTCTTAAAATTTTGATCTCCTACCATGCTGCTAACATTTTGAATTGTAAATCAATTCTACAGTACTGAAAACATATATTTAAAATGTTACCATAGGAGGACGAGCAGTAATTGGTCCAAAAGGTGGAGGAAGATTCATTTTATTCATCAGATGAAGTACCTGAAATGAGTCAAAATAAGTAGGTTTCCTTTGAATAAGTAAGTGCTAACAGTTCCTTGCTAGGTGAAACAACTAATCACTCCTGGCAGGTGTAGATCAGCACGGTTTTGATGCTCATGAACAATGTGAAACCTGCACTTCAGATCCAACACTAATAGTCAATATAAGCAACAGCCTAACAAGGTTAATATAAAAAGTACAGCATCTTCTCAGAATGAAATTCCAGGTAGTTAAGTCACATCTAATTAGGAAGAGCATATCCAGTTAAGCCTTCAGTGTCAATTAAGTAATCTACCTCAGGTTAATAAAATCTCATTATCACAGCATAGTAAAAAACTACGATTAGTTAACACTAGCACAGAAAAATCAAATTAGTATTTACGATGATAAAAATAATTACTTCTGTGGGTAATTAAAAGAGGAAAAATTACATGTTTTTTGTTTTATACTCTTTTTTTTACTTACCTGGACATAAAATTTGGGCACGCTTGCCAAGGCATTTGCTATATTTGCTAGAATTGCACTTGAAGGTGGTGGATACAAATATTTGAGGCAAGAATTGATGGGAAAGGTGAGGCTGAGGAAAAAAGATTGAAAACAAGACACCTTAACATTGCTGCCACTTAATCACCAGTAACAATTAATGATTACTAGAGGCTTAACTATTGATTACATCTGAAGTAACTCTGAAATATTATTATTTCCCCTAGAACAGTTTAGGGCAACTTACAATGCCTTTAACATCAAGGAGCAGTCCCCAATGCATAACAGATTTACTGGGCTAAGGCTTGGGCATAATGAAAGTATCAAGCCATGCAGAAGCCTAAAGCAAACAGAAACAATCAACATGTCCAAAACCAAAAGCACAGCATAACAAACTGTACAAATATCATAAACTCAATGCTCAAAGAGCTGCATTGGCTTCAAAAAATTTACTACTTCCTGTATGCTAAAATGAAAATGAGGGGAAAAAAAGGAAGAAACCTCAGGAAAAACAAGTCACTGGTATTCTGCTGTTAACACTGGGAGAATCTCGGCCCTCCAAGAAAGCAATGCATAGTGCTGGAAGGCTGCTCTGCAATCTACAACTGTACAGCTCAAAGCACCAGTCACTATGCAGCTGTGAGGACTCTAAACTTGAGGAACTGAAATTTCATCTTTATGACAACTCCTACAGCTATGCCTGAGGAACAGCAGCATAGAAGGAAACAAAACTCTTGTTCAACAGTACATCACACATTTCAAAATAATCTGACAGAATAAAATAAGATAAATAAAAACTCAACACTAACCCATGGTTGGGTGCAATTCCATTCTCTATTTTAATACAGTTTGGTTGTGCCTTCTCTTCTTCTTTCACTGGTTCTTCTAAACTGAAAATTAATTCAGCCTCAATTAAAACAGGGCAAAATTTAAGTATGCCTTATGTAATAGATAAAACATGCATCATCTGTTAATAAATACAAAAAATAAGTCAGCATAGGTATTTTTAACATCTTTTACCAACTGCATAACTATAGTTGTTATTAATTCTTCATAATGAATACATGTGGATAATTACAGTAGTGACATTCTTCTAAAATAAATACTTATGTAGATTTAAGTAAGTATCCTTATATTCAAACACTTGACTTATATCCACTCACAGGAAAAGAACTGAAATTATTTATCATACACTCTGTTCAGAGACCATAAACTCAAAGGTACTGAATTATTGATTTGTTCATATGCAGAAAGTGGAATAAAGAACTTGAAAACTCCACTACAGTATTTTTAATTAAGCCCTATCACATAGCTTTTATCATTTATTTGCATATTCCACGGGTGATTATTCCACAGTTCTGCTGAGAGGAATGCAGTCACTCTCCTATAGATCTGAACCTGTTTGTTAAGACTTCTGAGTGGTTACAATTTATTCTTTGAGTTAAAAATACTACCTATGTATGATGAATCCAGAATACCCTTTCCTTCACCACAAACATAACAAGGAAATTATTCTGCACATACCTTTTGCACTTGTCTGAGACAGAGGGCTGGCTAAGTACCTGTGCACTCTCTTGCTCCTTTGCAAATTCAACAACTAATGTGTGACCTAAAAGTTTCAGCTGATGCAGTCTTGATAAAGCCTTCAAGTAATTACAGAGAAAAGAAATAAAGAGAAGAGGACAAACATGAGAATTATTTTAAAGCATAACTGTTTTTCCTTTGAGTGGTACACTGGCCATAGGTTGCAGTCCCAGCTGCTTTAAGCTGTCGGTGCTGTTGTGGCCACTAGAGTTCTGCACTGTTTGTGTCTTCCCAGCCCTGCTTTCAGCACCATTTCCTGCTAAAGGAAAGGGACCAGGCTGCACAGCCACAATCACTGCACAGGTCAGTCACCTGAACACAGCAGCAGCCTCAGCAAGTTCTGACACAGGATTTTTAACCAGACTAGTATTTAAAATGCATTATTACTACTACCTTTCTGGTATCCATATTCTCTATTAATAAAGTAGTTTTCTTATCAAAATTGGGCATACAAGGCAAACTTGGATTGTCAGTATAATTAGGACTGACTTTTATGGCAAATACACAATTATACAGGAGACAAGGAAACTCTGTCTGGTTTATAGTTTGCATATAAATGCACACACATCCTAAACATGGCTCTGACCAGTCTCAGCTTCTGTAAGTTTGCCAGGCTTTGTGTGACAGGCTGGATCAGATGGCTTCCACAAACCCTTTTCAATCCACCTTTCTTAGGACCCTACAGAAGTGTTCAAGAATTTCATCAGGTCAAGCAAGCAAATCCTGAAACAGAATTCTAATACTACATTGTGCTGCTTTGTTTTTTCCTAGCACTAAGTACCAGACGAGGTGTAAACCATATTAGACCACTGGCAATTCAGTGCTTTGCTAAAACATTCAATAACAAACTCAGTACAAACCTTTGCAGCTGCATTTTCACTGGGAAAGGTGGCAAAAGCAGTATGTTTCTAGAAAACAAACAAAAAGAAGTTACAATGTATTTGAATCAAAAAGGTAAGCGATTGTAGGTAGAACACTGAGCATTTTGCTAGTTCAAGTTTACATATTTGAAAGCTTCCAGGTGGTAATCATCTAACTCCCATGCAGGGCAAACATGAAGGCCTAGAAAACATTTTTCATATAATTTTGGAGAAGTACCTCCTGCAGTCAAAATTAAGACATGAGCTCAGCAGTTTGAAGAATACAGGACAAGTGGTTACTTTCTAGCAAGTAAAAATCATTCTAAACTGCAAGAAAGTACATATGGATAAAGAGGTCTTATCCCCTTCCAAACCAGAAAATTCATCTGAGCACCTCACAAAACATTTTCTTCAAAGTAACTCCTGGAAGTAATGGTCTTGTCTTCCTGCTACAAAAGTTGTAACTATTCAATACCCAAAATCATTGCAACAAATCAGTATATCTGATATCTTATAAAGCGTGATAAAATATGCAGACATCATCTATCTGCAATTCTACAAAATATAAGACCCTTCACTAAGAGTATTTATCACAAAACAAACACATCTATGCGTTCGCAATCTGGAGAAAGAAGAAAGCAATGCAGAGATTTCGAGAGACCTGTGAAACAGCATCCCTTTGCACTACTGAACCCCGGCCTCGCTGGCAGCAGCGAGGCCAAAGCCGCGGGCACAGGGCTAGCGGCGGGCGGGGCAGGAACCGGAGCCGGCGCTATCCGTCCGGCCCGGCCCGCTGGGCTCCCGGCAACGGGCCCCCCGCTCCGCTCCGCCCCGGCCCGGCCCGGCCCGCGTCCTGCCCGGCTCCAGGCTCGGCCCTGCCCGCCCAGGCCCCGGCCCTCACCAGCCGTCCGTGGTCCGACAGGACGCGCACCGACACGGCCCCGAAGTGCTGCAGCAGATCCTCCTTCTCCGCCGCCGTCAGCTCGGCGGGCAGGTGCCGCACCAGCAGCGTGCGCCCGCGCCGCCGCGACACGCCGGGGTGCGGCGGGACAGCGGGGCCCAGCCCCGGGCCGCCCGCCCGCAGCTCCTCAGCGCCCGGCGCCGCCATCGCCGCGCAGGGCCGGACCCCGCCGCGCGCCGGAACCAGCGCGCAAATCGCGCGAGAACAGGGGCGAGGCCGCTGACTCAGCTCTCGCGAGACTGGCGCCTTCGGCAGAGGCGGGAGTGGCCCCTCCGCACGGAGCTCGCGTGGGGAAGGCCGCGATCGTGCTCCGTAAGGAGACGGGAGCCTGCCCTTCCCCTTTAACGCTTAGGAACTTGTCTTCAGGCATAATAAAAAGTACTTTCTCCACAGTCTTTAGTTGCAGTGACTCGTCGCTTTCTGTTTCACCTGAACAGCAAGGTACTGAGGCATGGCTGGCACAGGCATGAACCCGCTCCCTCGGGGCAGCAGCTGTGCCTGGCCAAGGGAAACAGGGCTGTAATTACAACTGTGAGGGGCTAATCAACATGAGCAGCGAGCATGGACACATTCCTGCCACCTACCGCTGCAGCCACACAGGCGGCTCCGAAGTCTGCGTTCTTTTGGAGGACATAGGTTGTGACCTTAAAAGAGTGAAGTCCCTGAACTTGACTGATGAAATCTCAGGTCTTACCATATTTAATTAGCTATCTGCTGGCTGGCAAAAGTCCTGCCTGCTTGTGTCAGTGTTACTGCTAGCTGTGGGCTCCACGGACACAGTGCCCCATGGTTCAGTGCAGAGCCTGGAGCCGTGCCAGGCTCTGAGCAGCTGGAGCACACAGGGACACCCAGGCTCAGTCACTGCACAGCTGGAGCACACAGGGACACCCAGGCTCAGTCACTGCACAGCTGGAGCACACAGGGACACCCAGGCTCTGGCACTGCACAGCTGGAGCCACAGGGACACACAAGCTCTGAGGAGCTGGAGCACACAGGGACACCCAGGCTCTAACACTATGCCCGAACCAACCACAGCAAAATCGTGCTTGGTACCTGGGCAGTAGGGACAGGTGTTCCCTACACCTCTGTGTAGAAAAAGCAAGGCCTTCAGTCCATAAAGTCCTCAAGGCCCCTTCAGTTTTCCTGAGTTGTCATGATGGACCTGGCACTGTGTTCACAGTGCACCTGAAGGGTCATGGCTGTGCATATTTGGTGACTGAACACTGACAGTTTGGGCAAAGACCTGGCCATTGTGGCTGGTCACAGCAATCTCATCAGGTCGGTCAGATGGCAATCCAAATTCTTCCAAACGAGTCTGGGAATGAGTTGGGAAAAAAAAGGATATTCTAAATGGATCTGTGAGAAAATGTAGGAGCAATTTCTTACAGGATCTGTTCCTGCATTTTTGTTGTTGCCATAAGTATAAGCTAGGAAATGCCCACGAACTGGGAAACAGGTGGAATATTTGACACTGTGCAAATAGAGTAGTGTATTTTCTCTGTTGATAACACCAGCAGTACTCTTTTTTCTGAGGCTGTTGAAACTTTAAAAGTAACACTGACCAGTCTAACTAGTTCTATGTGTGGCTTGTGGTTTGTATAAAGTCCAGAAGATTTTCTGGGATATGCTGGTCAACATGCAATTGCAGCAGATGGGAAGATAACAATTGTAAAAGCAAGCCTTTGGTGGCTGTACTGCTGCATCCTGTTTAAATTGGCCTGACTTGTAGTTCACTCCTGGGTAATGACTTCAGAGAACTTTCTATGCAGCAGATCTGTGAAACTTGTAGGCAAAGCAAACCTTCCTGTTTCCCTTTTAGTGCTCTAGTACATTCCAATTCTTAATCTACACATCATTCACCAGATGGTGAATAATGATATAACCTCAAATATGTTTTCCCCTCAGAACTAAGGAACACTGTTTCCAGTTCTGCTCAGAGAAGGCTGAGGAAAATATGTACTCTTTAGTTACACTGAACAATTGACAAGAACTATTTCACTTGAAATAATATATCTCATGGCTCTTCAGCCCACCTGTTCCTCCTAGCACAAAATCCCCCTCAAAAAAAGAGAAAAACTCTTTTAAAGTCTCTTTACCATGTTAGACCAGGCTGCTGAAGCTCCTCTAGAGCAGCAGTTTAACATAGCAACATGCAAGTCAAGCTGATAAAAATGTGCATGTGTTTTTCCTAAGACACAGAAAGTAAAAAAAAAAATCACTTTCTTTCATCATCGTGTCTACAGTCAAAATATATGAATGTTACCTTTTTTACTTTCCAAGATGTTTAATTTGTAGATTTTTGAAAAATAGAGTTCCTCAACACCAATGCATTATGGTTTTGTGTTGAAATCCATGGCTTAGAAGTTCTTTGCTTATTCAGAGATTGAATGCAAGTGGTTTAGCAGTACCAGTATGAGTCAGAACTACAGAATCGTTTGGGTGGGAAAAGAGGGAGATCCTTTTGAAGCAATCTCTAGTCCAGTCTCCTACTCCAAGCAGGTTCAATACTGAAATCCAACCACATCATTCAGGACTTTCTCCAGCCTGGTGTCAAAAGGCCCTTAGGGTGAAGATTCCACAGCCTGCATAGACAGGCTTTTCCATGCCTTAATCAACCTCCTAGTGATTTTTGTCTCTCTTTTTCATCCATTTGAAAGTGACCATATTTGCATAAATGTGTGGTAACTTCATGAAGACAAAAATTCAAATTCTAGATAAAATTTATTGAGTTGGTAAGAATGACAGTGTGATCTGTAACTATACAAACAGTGACTTGCAGAACTGTAAATTATGCAGCCAGGGCTGTTTGAGTGGTTTTCCAAGTGGAGTCTGTTTTTACTTTTCCTTAACAGAATCAAAATGTGGGTTCCAAATGCTGTGTAAGGCTCCAGTTTCTAAAAAGCTTCTCAGCTGCTCTTGTATGTTTGCATGCATGTGTGTCTCCATTTGTATCATTGATTCCAGGGCTTCTGCTGTCATGCTAGGCCTGTATTTCTGCATTAGTGATAAATACTTTCTTCTCCACAGAATGACTACTTGTTACTACAGCTTAGATCAAATCTGATTTTCAGCAGAGGTAAAAGTAAATGAAATTTGGCATAGCCACCTCATAGGAAAAATTGATGCTACATCTAAACAAGTTAGGACAGAGCTTCAGACAAGCCTATGTGAGTTCAAGCAAAACAAATCTGACATCCTTCAGTCCTGAGGCTTTGAAAGCCTGTGGCTCTTTATTAATAATGGCAATACTGTATTTACTGGCCTGCAGGCCAACCTCCTGTATTACCAGGTCATTGCTGCAATAACAACTCTGTAGATCAAAAATATTGGAGTTATAGGCAGTATTAGATCTTATTCAAACTCAGTTCCCAAAGGATATTTTTCCTGCCTAATTTTTTGTGAGCCACACAAGCCTAGCAAGGTGGGTATTTTTGGTAAGAGTTTTGGAATCCTCAGGCCAAAGTGTTTTGATTACTAAGGTAAAAAAGAAAACCACCAGAGCAGCAACACCACTGGGTAAAATTTGATTTTCGTGGTGGCAGTTCAGTAACTGTCTTCCTATTCATATCAACAGTGTGGTGTAAGAAAACTTTAGAAAGAAGGCAGTAGGACCCTGGTGAGGCTGGCAGGACCCTGGCTGTTACTGCTGGAATGGTGTCTGTGCTCCAGGCGTGGGCAAGCTGGATTTTGTCAGCTCCTATAGCACAGCGTTTGTGTGGCAAGGTTTTGGCAGCAGGGGGGTTCAGGGGTGGCTTCTGTGAGGAGCTGCTGGAAGTTTCCCCTTCCAGAAGAGCCAGTGCCAGCTGGCCCCAACACGGACCCCAGCAGTTTTGCCCACGACAGGCATCCCCAGTCTGTATCTCGGCCCCTGAGCCTCTTGTTACATCCCCTGTGCCCTGTCCCTGAGGAGGGCAGGCAGAGAGGAGCTTTGGTGGGCACCTGGCATCCAGACAAGGCCAGCCCATCACAGCTGCATGGGCATACATACAGCCTCAGAGACTGCAAAATGATTGCTGTAAAAATGACTGCTTGTGGAAACAGAAAGTTGATATTTAAAGAAGGCTTTAAGTCAGGTAACTCCTTTCCTGAGCATAAGCAGCCATTTTCTTTAGCTTTTGATTTTTCTGTCTGAATAAAATAAAAAGGATAAACCACTAAGAATTCTTCTTTTCGTATTTGACCACTAGATGATGCTGTGACTCTTAATTGCAAATGATACTGTACTGTTAACATTTTGGTTTCTTTTATAGAACTCTGCAGCTTTTTTGTGTATGAAAAGTTGGTGTTTCCTTTTTCTTACATGCATTGTAGCTGTAAGCACATATAGGATGGTTAGTTTCTATACATATCCATATAGATCAGACATCTAGCAATACCTCTTTCTGGCAATACAGGGAATTTCACATGATTTTTGAACCTGTTCTTATGTTCTTCTCCCTAGATGCAGATGTGGACTGCTTTGAGTAAAGACTTTTTCAAAAAGGGGAGAGTATACTGAGAAGAGATTTGAGATAGCTAATTCAGGTTTATATTTATATGTCTTACTGTTTATCTGTGCTACATAGTCACTTAGAATGGTGGGTTTAGCTTCAGTTTTGGAATTTATTTTTCTGGGCTGTAAGAGCATCTGGAATTAAGGAGGACATTTCTATTTAGAAATTATTGCTAAAAAGTAGGTGATCTTACTTTATTTGCATAAGCATTATTTCTGTTTTCTGTTTCCGTAAGTCATTTCCCACTTTAATATTCAGAAGTGCTGTGGTTTGATCCACACTGTTGTGGGTCTTAGCCAAGAGCTCCATTAGACTTTCACACATGGCACCATTGTACTGATGTTCTTCTCAAAGTGATTTCAAGAGAACAGCATTCTTTCATGTGACCTAATTGTTTTTCACCATTTGCCATTTCTATGAACTCCTATCAACACTTTTTTGCAGCACCTTCTTCCATCTTCTTATCAGAAATGTTAACACAGTAAGGCTGAATTGATTGCAGCAGACAAAGCAAACATACTCAACCAGCTACCTTCTGTACAGAAGTGCTAAAGGCACAGCTCCATTCGGGTGATCCCCATATGTCAAAACCAGAGAAGAAATGAAAACAGGTTATACAATTCAGAACAGCTTGCAAGCTAGGTCAGTGCCAGT